CGTTAATAACAAACTATTCATAGTATCGATACTATCGATAGTGTTGATTTTATCTGCAACAATACTATCGACAGTATCGATACTAGCGATTGTTTTAGACTAAAGATTGTGATTGACTATAATACCTGAAAATTGTAAACAATACTATTTCAAATTGTTAAACTATCGAAAGTATGGTTGCAGATAAAATCAATTTTATCTGCAACCATACTTTCGATAGTATCGATACTGTCAACAGTATCGATACTATCGATAGTTTGTTATTAACGAACTACAATACAATCGATAGTATTTAACTCATCCGATAGTATTGAATTTTTCTGTGCTATCGATAGTATCGATAAGCCGATCGATTGTCATACGATTGGTTGGCTATCGATAGACTATCGATTAATCATCGATAGTCGACTATCGATCGGCAACACTAGTATATTTATAAACGAAGAATAAGCTTGGATTAATCACTCCGTGTATTGTCTCTGTTCATTGCATGACATATGGCATTAGAAGAACTGGGCATGGCGTAACTTGTCTTAGCTTATTCCACGTTTATTAATAAGTTTTGAAGAGAACGAAAATCATAATGATTAGAATAGGTAATGATTTTTCTTCATTCTACTTGTAATTGCGACTAAGATAAATTTTAAATGTTGCGGACTTTACTTAACAAGTGGATCATAACTTTTAAGAAATAAAATTAACCTTTTGAGAAGATATTTAATTAAAAAAAAACGACGGGTTGCACTCCGGGCGTGCCGGCAGAAGTGAAAACTTGAATATTAACATTGTGCATTTTTGATGTTTTGGAATGGTTAGGGAATAATTTTGCACGAATTGCTTTAATTATCAGTATAAATGTACTTTCATGTATGTGGTAGAATACAATATTTATTTATTGCGCTATCGTACACAAACATGACATTTTATATCACATTAAAAAAGTTTATCTCACAGTAAAATCAACTTACATGAATCACGTTTAAGCGCACTTAGCGACATCTATTGTTAAGAAATCAACTTACATGAATCATATTTAAGCGCACCTAGCGACATCTATTATAAAGAAATGCATTTTCTTCGCAATAAAGCTGCCTGTCCTAGATAGAGACTTCTTATTATAATACGATAAAATAAAATATTACTGTTTCGTCCAATATATTGAAAGTCAACAACTTTTCCAATTCTATTGTGTGTCATGATGCGATCAGCCCACGTGTTTAACCTGTCGCGAGTTTAACATTTTTTACCCATACAAAAAAAGTGTACAACTCCGTTAAAAAGTTTTTACTTCAAAAAATAGATTTCCTTACAGTCTTTCCTATGTATTCTTTGCGTTTTCTAAATACGACATTGGTGTTATCTGTGACGCCGAATTGATTTATGTAATTTTTATTCCAAATCTATTTTTTTTATTAAACAAAAGTACTTATGTTTTCACGGTGAACATTATCTGGCGAGCGACAATGAACTTACGTTTTAAAGGCTCTTTACTTCGTTTACTTCGTGAAAACACTTGCTATATTGCGTTACTGCAACCCAGTTGACTTGAACGTAGTGTTAAATCTTGTCGTGTGATGGTTAAATTTTTTTGAAGTTATACTTCTTTAGGCGCGTTATGAAAAAATGATGAGAGTGAAATTTTAAGATGCGCGCGCATCACTGTAACCCAAAAGTAACAGCATGAAGTTGGCCGCGGGCGCGTTATGAAAAAATCATGTAAGTGAAATTTCGAGATGCGCGCGCATCACTGTAACACAATAGTAACACCATGAAGTTGGCCGCGGGCGCGTTATGAATGTTAGTGTCTAATAATGGTGGATTATTAACCACTTAGTGGTTAATACTTGGTGGTAGTGGTGGTACTTTGAACGATCCACGGAGCTCCATAAGATGATCGCGTTGTCAAAAACAATGTTGGCACGCTCGTCGCCTCTGATCACTGTTTTCATATTTATAATATTTATCCACATGTTTCTAGTTTCTATATAGACACAATGTGTTTTAGTTACTTACAAGTGCTAATTACATATGGACTAATAACTTAAATTCAGTAGCGATTTTAATTGAATATTTATTTAATTTTTCAAATTAAAACTGAACTTAATTGACTGTGTTAACTATCCTTTTCCAGTCCTTTTATTATTTTATTGTAATTATTAATTATTTGCATGCAATTAAAAAATATTTTTAATGATGCTAAAGAAGTATAACTTCTCACGCGCGTACATAAGTTACACGCATCCATTTTTTTTTTTATAATGGTCCGATGACGTGGTTTTATTACGTGTCGTCTTGTCTACATTTTGTTTAATTTATTCCATAAGATGGATAACACAAGTAATGGTTTTTTTCCCCTCTTCTTTTTGTGTATCCGAAGGCAAAGAGCTAAGCCTACACAGCCTCTTAGATTAAGGTTTTCGTTTTAATATTAATAACTTCTCTTATTTGTATATTAAGTGATTGTCTTGTGTCTCCGTCCTTTGATGTCCAAATTAGGTCCCTCCAGAATATCAGCGTTGCAGCGGCAATCCATTTTTGCCGTTGCAGCATTATGCTGAGGTGGGGCCTAGTTGACGATGGACCTTTTGTTTTATGTTTTATGTGTATTTATTGTAATTGTTAATGTATGTCGTCAATAAATGTACTTCTTTCTTTCTTCTTTGAAATATTTTTTTGTTTATTAAACCAGTGATGCAAAGGTTATTAACGACGTAAATTTATGGCTACGATATGGCTGCATGTATTATTATTAGCAATAATCTAATGTACTTTGCATGCGTGGGTTCGCAACTCATCTTCGTCACAATTTTTTTAATGCAATAACCTTAAAAACAAAAAAAAACGAGTGTGTTTAAGACCAAACGACTGATGTGAAACTTCTTTAGCTCCATCTGTATGTATATCTATATATATATAGCTGTACGAGAAAGAAAATGTGCGGGCGCACTGCTTTCTCTTTCTTATCCCCCACTCAACTCCCGTTCGCCTCACCCGATCACACTTTTCGTAACGCGTAACACGTTCGCTGTCATCCGTAAGTCAAGCGTGCGTAAAGAACTTTGCTTATATCCCCCACTCAACTCTCGTTCGCCTCGCCCGATCACACTTTTCGTAACGCGTAACACGTTCGCTATTGTCCGTAAGTCAAGCGTGCGTAAAGAACTTTGCTTATATCCCCCACTCAAATCCCGTTCGCCTCCCCCGATCACACTTTTCGTAACGCGTAACACGTTCGCTATTGTCCGTAAGTCAAGCGTGCGTAAAGAACTTTGCTTATATACCCCACTCAACTCCCGTTCGCCTCGCCCGATCATACTACGTAACGCGTAACGCGTTCGCCATCGTCCGCAAGTCAAGCGTGCGTAAAGAAGTTCCTCTTCAAAACTAATCTCAATTACTCCTTGGTCACGCCATTACCTGTAAATAACTTCTTATATTACTCGTGTGACTATCACTAATTTGTCGTTCTAGATTATTACACATATTTGTTATGAACATAGTTATAGTAACGCAATGAATTGTACATGCTTGAAATATACACAGTCAGGTCATAAGTATTGTCACACAGTAGAAACTTTTCTTTTAGAATGCTGGCCACAAAAAAGTTTATTGAATTCCAATTTCGAATTGATCATGAAAATAAAAATGTATACTTTTTAGAATTTTACTCATTTCTAAATATGGAGTGGACGCTTAAAGAAGACCGTGTTGCAGTTATTGCGTTGCATCGTTGCGGTTACGCGCCAATTCAAATTGTTGCCATACTGAAAATTTTGAATATAACCAAAAGATTCGTTTATCGTACCATCAAACGATACAATGAAGACTCTAGTGTAGATGACAGGTCAAGAAGTGGTCGCCCTCGGTCTGTTAGGACTCCAGCAGTGATAAAAGCTGTGAAGGCGCGAATTCAAAGAAATCCCAAACGTAAGCAGAAACTGTTTGCCCTTCAGATGGGGTTAAACAGAACCACGGTGAAAAGGATGTTAAATAAAGACTTAGGGCTTTGGGCATATCGAAGAAAAACAGGAAATCGTTTGAATTCTCGTCTAATGGACCTGAGACTGAAGAGATGCCGCGCTTTGTTGAAGCGGTACGCGGGAAAAAAATATCGGGAAATTCTGTTTTCGTATGAAAATTTTTTACCGTAGAAGAGAGCTACAACAAACAAAATGATAAGGTGTACGCACACAGTAGTGAAGAAGCGAGCAACCGTATGCCGCGTGTCCAACGAGGTCATTTTCTATCCTCGCTCTTGGTATGGTTGGGAGTTTCTTATTGGGGTTTAACAGAGGTACATTTTTTGTGAGAAAGGTGTAAAAACGAATGCAGTTGTGTATCAAAATACAGTCCTGACGAACCTTGTGGATCCTGTTTCTCATACCATGTTCAATAACAGGCACTGGTTATTCCAACAAGATTCGGCGCCAGCTCATAATGCGAAGAGCACAAAAGACTGAGAAAATCTGAGAGAAATCGACTTCATCCGGCACGAAGACTGGCCCTCCTCCAGTCCAGATTTGACTCCGTTAGATTACAAGATATGGCAATACTTGGAGGTAAAGGCGTGCTCAAAGCCTCGTTCCAATTTGGAGTCGCTCAAGACATCCTTGATTAAGGCAGCCGCCGATATTGACATAGACCTTGTTCGTGCTGCGATTGACGACTGGCCGCACAGATTGAAGGCCTGTATTCAAAATCACGGAGGTCATTTTGAATAAACTTTATTGTCATAAGAATCTATGTTTTGTTAAGTTCATTTTGGTATATAAATAGTTACATAATGTATAAACTTGTTTCAATTATTTTATATTAAACGTGTGACAGAATTTATGACCTGATTAGGTACATACATATTAATAAAATTTACACGTAATTCGGCGCTTGCGTTGCAATCTACCAAAGTGGAAAGATCTAAACACACCACCAATAAACTTAACAATACCTCTTAATCTTTCGCCATGTCAAAATGTGATTGATAATTTTGTAATCATTATCTTATCAAACTCATGCTGTGTAGAAGTCAAATTGTTTTCGAACTAAACATAATCCGGAAACAAGACGTGTTCTGCGTAGTTAAAAGTTAGATTTGTATTTGTATATATTTATTTTAGCAAATAATTTAGGTAAACTATGGAAAACAGAATAGTGCATCTAGATCCGAGGCTTTTGAAGGTCGCGCCGAAGAAGACTGCGTCAGATGGTGAGTGAAATGATACCTTTATACGTAAAATAATTACCTACTAGTGATATTTTTAAGAAGATGAAATGAAATGAAAAGTCATTTATTCAGTCTAGGCTGTTACAAGCACTTGTGAAGGTCAGAAGCTACGCCATCGGTTCGCAAAACTACGGCGGGAGACCTTGTACTGAGAAGAACCGGCAAGAAACTCAGCAAGGGCTGCTTTTTTCTCCCTGTATTGATATATACAGAGTCGTCAAGTTGAAAAATGACTTCGTAGATACTTCTGAAGTCACCTTCCATTACATCATTTAGGATATAGATATATACAGTTACAATAATAATTATATATTTAGTATATAGGAAGGGGCATTAGATAGGTACCATAATACTGTTACAAAAACTGACTAATACCCATCAAATAACAAATTACAAGAAACACTATGTCTAAGGTTCCGTACCTCAAAAGGGAAAAACAGAACACTTATAGGAACACTTTGTTGTCGTCTGTCTGTCTGTCACGACCCTCTATTTTGGGAACGCGTTGAGGTATCGTCCATTGAAGCTGTGTAACCTGAACCCGCAATCTGTTATTGTCAGTATTTCTGGAACTTATAACCAGAATATCTATTTAAATAAAACTCAAAGGTGACTGACTGACATAGTGATCTATCAACGCATAGCCCAAACCACTGGATGGATCGGGCTGAATTTTGGCATGCAGGTAGATGTTATGACGTAGGCATCCGCTAAGATTTTGATCAATTCTACCCTAAAGGAGATAAAATCGGGAATGAAAGTTTGTATGAAACTATGTCAATTTTAAACCGATCGGGCTGAGACTTTGCGTGCAGGTAGAAGAAGAATCATAGATGAATGTCATTGTGTATAATACAAGCCTGAGAACAAAAACTGTAGTCTACACTTCAGCTCTACACCGAAGCGAAGTGAGGGCGGGCCGCTAGTTTTTATATAAAATACTTAGTTGCTTAATTACGTAAGGATCAGATGATTTGTCAAATGACATAACTTCAACTAATCTTATGATAAGAATATGTTTCATTCTCATTTTAAATATTCACTTAATTAATTTAATAATACATTATAAATCAATGCCACTTTCTGCAATAATGAAGTATCAGTTCAAAAACGATTACACTAAATATAATCTTATGTCACAAGCACTACGTCTCTCATAAATAAGTATTAGTTTATTAAAATATTCGCTAAATATATTAGGTACCAATAGAATCTCAATAATTGTTTGAGGAGCTCGATGGCGCAGGTGGTTAGCGCGTTCGGCTGCAATCGTTGAAGTTAAGCAAATGTCGCAGTGGTCGGTCATTGGATGGGTGACCAAAAATTTACTATCTCGAGCTCCTCCGTGCTTCGGAAGGCACGCAAGCCGTTAGTCCCGGCTGCATCTGCAGCCGTTAGCACCCACCAATCCGCACTGGGCCCGCGTCGTGGGTCATGGCCCAATCTCCCTATTCCATCTGTAGGAAGGCCAAAGGGGAAGATCTTCCTCCGAGCTGGGTGATGGTAGCTCAGGGGCCGCGGCCCGACTGATGTTGGTCGGGCATCGTATATATGAACTGTTGGCTACCGAATTTTACTTGCGCGATGTAGGCTTCCTTACGTTGTGAATGCAGCGCCGGTAGTGCCATCTCTTGAGGAGGCGTAAGATTGTTTTCCTCCATGTTAGTTATATGTGGGCCGTGTAGATGTCGCTGCCACACATCCATAGGGAAGGCCTGTGCCCCAGCCGTGGGGACATTAATAGGCTGATGATGAATTGTTTTAGCTCACTGACTACACTATATCAGTATTTTTTTTAGTTAAAACAGAATTATTAATATGACTTGTTAACGATTGTAGCGGAACAGATATCGAAGCTGCGTCCCTCCCAGTCCCCGATCGCGATATCACTGCAGCGCTGCCCCACGTGGTCTTCTCTGGACCGGCTGCAGTTCAAGGGCTACTGGGACAATCAGGTCAACGGGATCCTGCTCAATAATGGACAAACTGGTAAGTAGTTTTTAAATCTAAAGAAAATATAACTAGAAAAAATTCCACGCGGACCAGGCAGCAGACGGGACTCGAACCCGCACCCTTCGCAATCCGGGCGAATGCACTGACCAATTATATTGCCTTGCAGCTTATGAATGACTAGAAGAATTTCGACGCTGTCCGTGAGGGCCGCGGTATCATAATTGGTCAGTGTATTCACCCGGATTGCGAAGGGTGCGGGCTTGAGTCCCGTCTGCTGCCTGGTCTGCGTGGAATTTATTCTAGTTATATTTTCTTTAGATTTAAACATCAAGCAGTTACATGCTTTAATATAATAAAAATTATAAGTAGTTTTTAAGTCAAATTCTAAAAGAAACGACATAAGAAACAAAATATCTCTCGAAAAGAAAAATGTAATAATGATTGAGGGAAGTCTCGAAAGAAATAAAAACAGAAGGTTCTGCCACCTGTTAGTGAGGAAGCCGATAAAAAAATTGGTGAATAGAGAAGGAAATTTCTTTGTAGCACTATTTGCAAATACAGTACTTTGCCCGCTCACGTGCTTCCTCCTACAACACGGAATACGCAACTTGCGGCTGGTAGTAAGGTAAAAATAAAATATAAAAATATCCTGCCACAAAGGGAGGAGTAGCTATTCATTACAATAACAGATAACCGGGAGCAGTACCACTTAACACCATAGTTAGTTATTCAGGGCGGTTTCCGCACTTAGTCCTAATTATTGGACCATTGTGCGTGTCTCAAAAACATTCCTGTTTACTCCAGCCAGCCTATATCGGTCCAGAAGGAAAGCAGCCTTGGTAGACTGCTGCAAGCTTCCGGAAACGATTCTGGTGACTGGAGAAGTCGTGCCCGTTGGTCGGCCACACTCCTGCATTCCATGATGACATGCTGTGGCGTTTCTTCTGCCTCCATGCATCCTCTGCATAGGAGGCTGTCTGTTACTTCTTTACTACTACTTCTCTTCTGTATAATAATTAATCCAGTACGTGTGTTACACGAGACGTACAAAATAAACAAACAATTTAGTTGGACATACAAACACTTTTAAATCCCAAATCACTATTGAATTTTACATTTTTTTTTTTACTAAAACTGTGGGTAATTTACAAATTGATGACTTGGTTCAAACAATGCATATAAATATTTGTTACGCAAACATCTGTAATTTACAGATATTTGACGTCATAAATGTAAGATACTTACAGTTTTGCCCACATAAATGTATTTGGTATTTTCTTATTACATTACATATAGTGGGTACCAGAGCTGAATACATATATAAAAGAATAATATGATAAAGTATTACCGATGGCTTTTCGTGTCTGGCGAAGCGCGAAAGAGCTCGAGATAATAAATTTTTGGTTATATCATCCAAGGAATTGCCTCACATCCGGAATCACAAATATCGTGTCATACTTACAATCCTTGAGCGTCGCCAATATACATATATGAATCTTATTCAGTTTACATCACGATCTATATAATCGTGTTTATTACATAAACATTCATTCAAAAATATCAAATTCTAAACTGCCCCCTAGCATGAACACCGCTATATGATATTGACATCATTAACTATCTATATATATAAAACTCAAAGGTAACTGACTGACATAGTGATCTATCAACGCACAGCCCAAACCACTGGACGGATCGGGCTGAAATTTGGCATGCAGCTAGATGTTATGACGTAGGCATCCGCTAAGAAAGGATTTTGATCAATTCTACCACCAAGGGGATTGTATGAAACTTTGTCAATTTTAAACCGATCGGGCTGAGACTTTGCTTAGAATCATAGATGAAAGTCATTGTGTATAATACAAGCCTGAGAACAAAAACTGTAGTCTACACTTCGGCTCTACACCGAAGCGAAGCGAAGGCGGGTCGCTAGTAACTTATATAACGCGTTTTTATCACGTTCAATTGTCAAATTTCTATGGAGTTTGACAGTTAGACGGGATAAAAAACGTGGTATAATGTAAATTGTAATGCTCATGCTACGGTACTAATATTATTAACCTAAAGAGTTCGTTTGTTTATTTGAACACGCTGATCTTAGGAACTACTGGTAAATAATTATTGTTGTGTTGGATAGTGCGTATATCGAGGAAGGCTGTAAGCTATATAACATAACGTTACGACATCATTTACATTACGAAGTTAACTAAAGTTAAATGTTGCAAAAACGGGAAAAAAAAGTATTCCATTTGTGAGCTTCCGTTGCGTAAACGCAACGCAACTTAGCTTTTATACTCTAGCAATCTCGTACAGGCCCTGCCAGAATACCAGCGCTGTTACGGAGGGAATATTCCCGTCCCATTGTAACAGCATTAAGCTGAGGTAGGGTCCTAATTGTCCTTTCTTCTTTCTGCATATTGTTGTTGTCTGTTTGTTTTTATTTTTATTGGTATATAATTTCTTATTGTTACATACTTGTGTGTTAAGCCCAATAAATGATTTTTCTTTCTTTCTTTCTTTCTTTCAACGCGTAAACAGTGAATATTACACAAGAAATATGTGTAAGACGGAATTGTTCCCCCTTTAAAACTTCTATATAAAGTCTAAATTACACTGCAATAGGGTATTTGACAAGTTTTAGAAAAACGATCTCACGTCATTGAATAATCTTTATGGAGTCCGTAAAAAGTGGATATTCATCATTCTGTTGTGAATTTCAGTAAAAATAACCAAATCAAAAACTCCATTTACAATGTGCCGCGGAAACGTTTCTCTGGACAATATGGCGTCTTACTAGTTATTAAAACGTCAAACGATATAATGTAATGTCACTTTAACCGGAAGTTTACTTGCGTGTGACGTCATTTTAGGCTCCGCCAACCCCAAGCGTTTTTGGTCACGTGACAATAGATAAGAAAACTATTATCTTTTTCGTGGGTTTTTAGTAAAATCATGAATATTTTTTTGTTAAAAATAGTAAAAACCCCTGCCAATATTCATTCTAAACGCAGATGCTAACAATTGACACTTTATTTTTAATATACTGTCAAATACCCTATTCACTTAAAAATTCCTTTTTACGATTTTGAAAAGAGCGAGAGTTGTAATTTTCACCGTATGTGTATATTACCAAGGTCGATTTATTTAACAAATAAAAAAGGTTTAACTTAAGTATTTTTTTTGTCTTTTTTAATTGCTGCGTAGGATATCAATTATTATGATGGTACGGAACGTTTTTTTTTTATATATAAAAATATAATTACCTACACTAAATTCGACACTCGATTCATAATGAAAAAAACATAGGTAATAAATAACAAAATATCTAGCGTGCCACTATTATCGTTATCGACGGTATAACGTTATCGCAGACGTGTACAATAATCTTGTTACGAATGAATTTGGCTTTATCTCTATAGAAACTCAATAATATAAGTGTCATAATCCTTGTATAAGCTACATACACTTCTGGCCACTTCTATTGGCCCACCTTGTATTTTCAGTTTCGTTTGGTCCTAGCTAAAATTTTATATTAGGTCTAACAAAAAGTTTTTATGCAGTTTTGAACCTGGCACATTCACAATTTCATTCAATAGTCTTTTTTTGAATTTCGAACACAGAATTTAAAGAAACAAAAGACAATTTGGAGCCTGTTTGTTGATATCAAGCAATCGAATACTAAGAAAACTTGGTTTTACTGGTTTACTTGGATTTAATTCTTGAAAAAGTGATTGATATCTTTGGTTTTGCAACAAACATTACTTATTCTTAACATTAAGGTGAGGTTCTATCAATAATCTATGGATACTTCACCTGAAGTCGCCGCCCAAGCTGTGGCACTTATTCAGGCCAGACAAAGCCAAAGAAACGTGAGTGCTCAACTTAATTTAAGTCGATCTGCGGTCCGAAATGTTTATCGGAGGTACCTGGAGGAGGAGAGACTGGCGGCTTTGTTCGTCGCCAAGGAAGGCCACGATCTCGGGTCACAACTGAAAGGCAGGATCGATTCATCGTGACGACCAGCTTGAGAAATCGTCACCTTACCTTCATTGAGATACAAAATCAAATTCGCCACTTCCACGGAGTATCTGTGAGCGCTCGAACTGTTCGGAGAAGGTTAAAAGAACGCGATATGGTACCACACAAGCCAGCTAATGGGCCCAAACTAACGCGAGCCCACCGAACAGCGCGCCTTCATTTCGCACGCAGTCATTTAAATTGGACACAGCAAGATTGGAGCCGTGTACTCTTTTCTGATGAGTTAAAATTGTGTTACATGGCAATGATGGAAGGAAGAAGGTCTACCGACGTAAGGGAGAGCGTTTCGCACAATGCTGCTTTGAAGAGAGGGTTGCTTATGGCGGTGGCTTATGGACTGTCTGGGGCGGTATATCCGCAAGCGGCAAAACTCAACTTGAGGTTGTTACAGAACCACGGCTGCCAACATTAAATGCTGAAAGGTACATTCGTAAGTGCTTAGAACCTCACGTGATACCATACGCGGACTATGTGGGCCCAAATTTACCTTTTATGCATGATAATACAAGAGCCCATGCGGCCGGCATCGTCAGGGAATATCTTCGGGATGTGAACATCACAGTTATGGACTGGCCAGCCAGAAGCCCAGACATGAACCCCATTGAGCACATATGGGACGAGCTAAAAAGACGTGTTAGGGCTCGTCAGCCAGTTGCCCAGACGATGCAGGAGTTGAAAACTGCCATAGAAGAGGAATGGGAGATGATCCCTCAAAATTTCATAGAGCGGTTGATAAACTCTATGCCTCATCGTATGAGAGCTGTGGTAGATGCCCATGGAGGCAACACGCGTTATTAAATTAAACCTTTATTTGATAAAACATGTTTTTTATTCAAAAATCAATTGCCTTTAACAAGGCGCATATCCGACTTGTTAGGCGTAGCTCCATGTCGTATGGTATTCTGAATTCAAATTTAAAACAATACGATCGAAAAATATGGTTAAATGTATCAGGTTTAAAACTGCATCAACAGTTCTTGTTCAATCTAGCAATCATA